GTGAATTCAGCCCATAGTTTCTGACTGCACCTGGGAGTGCTGGATGTATATGAGCACCTTTGGGTGTTTACACTTATGTAGGCAGGAGTGCTAATAAATGTAGTGTTTTCAGATTGTATGCAGCCTGATGCTGATTTGTAGTTTATGTTCATTTGGTTTTCCCTAATTAATCTGTCATCATTTGCATCTGTCTGCTGCTGGGTGTACCCTGGTCACAGAGCAGAGCAACCAATGAGAGATTGCTATGAGTAAGTATCCCTCTCTAGCCAATCACTGTGAGGCTAATGGCCAGTGGTGCATGATGGGGGAGGAGATAAATACTCTATGGACTGTCTGAGATGGCTAGGCCTGAAGCCTGGGGACTAGCCATGTGCTTGCACTGGGACCTGAGTCTTGGGGTCCAATGGTCACTACTGATGACAAGGATGAGCATGACTGGTGACCTCTGCCTCAAGTACTGCTGTGCCAGCTGTTCTTCCTGCTATGAATGATTATTTCAAATTGCAAAAGCCAATAGCAGGCTGGCTATTGCACCCGCCCACTAAGAAGAGGAGCGGAACTGAGAGACAACTTTCACTCTCAGGCCTGCTCCTCTGCTCAGTGGGTGGGGTTTTAATAGCCAGTCTGCTATTGGCTATTTTAAATTAAATTACATCCACCTATCGCCTGCAGAAGCTAGCCAACAGGAGAATGGGGCCAAGCGCGGGGGGAGCAAAATAGTCTAGCACCGGCCCTGTCTACATCAATCTGGATGACCCTAACCCTCAACCTCTCTCCCTGAAGTTCTTCAATAAAGTTCTCAGCATCATATATACAGTCTGGACATCACTTTAATCAATCACCATAGAGGGCGGTAAGTGCTGATGGTCAAAGTGAGTGAAATGATTCCTAGACAAGAAGATTACTGAGTTGCGGTAACCCATAGCTACCAACCCTAGAGTCATGGTGTGCTGTGGATCCATCATAGAGGTTTCTTACAGAGGAAACACAGGAAGACCTGTTAGTTCTATCACTGTAGAGCACTCTATGGAGCCAGAGGTAGTGTTATCCTGAATTGGGTATCACTGACTGAGAAAAGGGTGACACTACACACTGTAATATAAAAATCAATTACAAATCCCTCCTTGAAAGTGGGGACCCCTCAGTGACAGCTGTAGACACCGGAAATCTCAGAGATCCCACCATTGGTGTACTAGCATATGTGGCACCTTAGCAAGATCATTTTTTTAAACACTTACCCCCCACCCCATACACAAAATATTAGTTGCAGTAATAAAGCCAAACGTTGGGCTTGGCCAAGTTTTGCTAACAATGGTAGGGTCTTTTAGGGGCATGGTTTAATAAAACCTGAGTCTAATAGACGCATACAGCACTCAGCACAATAATTAGAAGAAAAAAATTAAACTCTTCCATTAAATATGCTTTTGCAACCTACTACATGAAATATTCAGTGACTACATAGCAACCAGCAACTTTGTTCTCAAGTATGAATCGTCAATGGCTGGCTGCAAAAATACCACCTCCCTCCCAGCTTTGGTGGTCAGTGGCTGGCTCTAAAATTCCCCCCAGCTGTGAAAATACTCCCCAGCAATAAACTTCTGAGCATTGGTGGTCAGTGGTCACCTGGAAAATGTCCCTTATATTCTCTGGTTCTCTGTAAAAAAAAATAAAAAAAATCCACCACTTATCCGTCCTGCAATTGCATGCAGCGTGCACCAGAGAGCACATTCAATATGGTAAAAGTGTCCCAGGACACTGTGTGGAGCCGTCACTCCTCTGGATATCTGGAAGTCTATTCTGGACATCAGAGAAAGACTAAAGATAGCCACGGAGCAAAAGACAGGAACAAAATAGGCGGAGGGACTACATGACAGGGTGGACTTGGGATCAAAAGGAGGGGTCAAGGTCAAGTGGTTTTCTTTAAACATAAAAGGGGTACTTACCTGATTGGCTGATTTATAGGTGGTCCAGGAGGGGCTTCCCAGTGGTCTTAGAAGGCGGAGTTTTTCCCTAGTCAGTTGGAGGTAGCACACGGTGAGTGAACTTCCCGCCCACCCGCCACTTTATCATTTTGGTTGTCTGTAATGTTGGGTGTATTTACATGTATGGCATGGTCTGGGGGTCCTGGAAGGCAGTGTGTGGTGGTACGGTGGTGGTGAGGACTCGTCTTTGGTGTGCAGTTCTCAAGGTGGCGGAGTCAGCAGACATGGTGGACAGTAATAGTTGTAAAATGTCTCAATTCTGTGTGTTGTCCCTGAGTTGGTGCATTGCGGCTAGGGGCCTTGGTAATAGGTATGCAGAGATGGTTGTTGTAAGGTAATGGGGCCTTCACGGACCTCCAGGCATATGTGTGTGTGCATGTGTACATATATATATACTGTATATTTGGAATGTAGGTGTAGGTGGGTGTACATGGACACACACATAATTAGTTAATGAAGGTTGTATATGGATTTGTTAATGTTTACATATTTGTAATAAAGGGCTGCTACAGCCAATTTATATCCAATACTGTGTGGCCTGTTATTTTAGATAAGGGAAGGAAAAGGGGGGTTGTTGGTTGGCATAGCAGGGGTAGGTAAAAAAGAGAACCTAAGCCTTGTCCTAGTTAAGCGGCTTCTTTCAGTGCCAAGTGCAAGAACGCATAGAGCACTCCAGTACTCAGCACACCACAACCCCTAAAGCAATACTCAGTGGGTGTGTGTGGTAATCCTGGGGTAAAATAAGAGTTCCAGTATAGTTCCAGCAGCAGTATAGTATTACTGCACCTGTACTGCTGCTTTAAAAAAAATGGCACATTTACAAAGCAAAGCGCTATGCTGCAAAAAGGCTTAGCACTTTACTTCAGGACTCCAAAGCAATTGAAGCCCCATTCATTTTAATAAATGAGGAATAAATGTCTAATCACAAGACCTTTCAAAGTCATGGCACCACGATCTTCTCTTATCAGTGAATGTAATGCAGGCTCAATTTATGAATGACTTGTAAAATGCAGACACAGTTGAATAAAAGCATGGTGTGCAGGGGAGGGAGGATAATAATATTCACTCTGCGTTATTCATGCCCACTTAAGAATTTACCAACAATTACCCCAACAATAACAGAAGAGTAAACAAGGGTTACAAAAAAATATATAACTCTGGAGTGAGCAAATAATAATATTTGTTATACATCCCCCGCCCCCCACCCCAGACAATTAACCCAACAATAACAGTATAGTAAACAAGGCTTATAGCAAAACATATAACTCATCATTGTTCAGGGGTGCTATGCACCATGCTACAGTTCAATTTAAAGCAACGCAAAATACTACAGGTGGTCCAAAAGTCCATAGCCAAACATGAAAGTAAAGTGATATACAGTAAGTTGGATGGTATAAATCTGTTATAGTCTGTTGTTTTCAATGTATGTCTGTGTCATGGAACCAAGAAAGCAGGCACAAACTTAAAGTGCAGGTATAAAATATAAAATTAGTTTATTGAAAACAACAATAAACATAAATGCAAAAACAACAGAAAAAGTCCGGGACGTCGTCAGAGCCAAGCCAGAGGTTATGCCCCAGCAGGTATTCAGGCGAACCAGGTCAGGGAACACTGAGAGTAGGATGAACGGAAACAAAGCCGGAGTCAGGAACCAAGAGATCAGTCATCCAGAGCCAGGGTTATGCACGGAAATCAGAAACAACAGGAGCATACTTGGTTGATCAGAACAAACGCAAGGACGGAGACTGAATGGACAAGCTGATGGTTGAACAGTGAATTGGTGTTTCCATCATCACTCTGACAGGAATTTGTCGGGCGTTTTTTTAGTAGTTGCAGAATCATGATGTTAACGAGTTTGAGCATAAAAAAGCGCCAAAGAGGAACAATGGTGCCAGAGAGGTAGAGTGTGACAATGGAGGAAGATAAGACTCAAGATGGATTCCCCAAATGTTGACAGATGTTTACAAAAGCATGCAATTCAACACTTTTAACCACTTAGTAATTTCTATAAGTATTCTGTGACCATTGGTGAGACCCGGATTCACAATTTTGATCCAGAGACCATAAAATAATCAAAGCAATGGTAACATCATGGATCTCCAAAAAAGTTTAGCATCCAAGCCAGTGCTGATTAGGTGATGGTCTCTGTGTTCTGGGATTATGAGGACATTTTAATCATTGCCTTTCTCCATTGCGGACAGATCATCACGGGGAGTTACTATGCCTGCTTAATCAGAATACTGTGGAATGTGATTAAGGAGAAGAGGTGAGGCAAGTTGTGTCAAAAGTCTTCTTCCACCAGGACACTGTCCCAATGTGCAAGTTCTTGTTGCTTTGGCTGCCATTATGGAAACAGAGTTCAAACTAGTGGATCACCTGTCTACTCAGAACTTACACCCAGTTGCCACTACCTTTGCCAGTAAGGAGTTTTGGAAGAAATAATTGAGTCATAGATGGTGTTGTGGAGAGGTTTAAGGGTCAAGAGGGTCAAGAGGAGAGTTGTTCCCTGGATGGAAACAAAATGCTTCAGCATCATATGAAGAAGTGCACTGAAGCGAAGAGAGATTATGTTTAAAATACAAATATTTCATGATTCTGATCCTTTTCTTTTTGTGTGAGGTTATGGATTTTTGAATCATCCCCCTATGTGGGGGACATAGAAACCTTTCATAAGCAGGCCTGAACAAGGTTACTTCATCTTTGCATAAAAATGGACCACACACTTCAAAACTAGCCAGAAGCTGAATAGCATCATAATGCTGCTCATTAGTGAGCATGGCTACTTGACCCTGCTGACCAATAGGAATCTATTCTTTCTTCCAGAACACCTTCCTGGTAATCAGAAAGCTCAGAAGAGCCTAGTTTTTGAAAAGAATACGTCAAAACAATAAATCCAAAGATATAAGTGGAAGTTATATGAAAATCTCAACTTTTCCTTTAAAAGTTATTTCTCCTAAACCCCACTATTGGTACTTAATGTGCTGGGAGGTCTTACTGATCAACTGGGAGGTTTAGGAGGCTGGAGAGGTGGGTTGAAGCTCATCTTTTTACTGGAGTCAAGATCTGAATATAATTTTAGCTGTCCACATCTCTGCCTCTACTGATTATGTAAACATGGGGGTTTTATAAAACCCTGTGAAGCAAATAACGCCTTCTCTTATAGGGTTAAATCCGGGGCTAAATCATAACATAATTCAAACACGGCTATAATAAATGTGCCCATGTTACATGTTTTTTTGATACAATAAACAAGTCTGTGTTATACAATTTTATACTGCACTATAGACCTCTAATATATACCGCAGGTAAATACATATAAATTGCTGATGCTGGAAAAGTGTAGTGTGCCTAAAGCTCTGTATGAAATGTGTCATGAGCGCTCTGTTTATTCACTCACTGAATAGCAAAAAATATCAATATGTGAAAATAATGTAGAGTTCATCAGAACTGCTTCTACATACAACAAGGTGATAAAGAAAAATGATAAATGCAAATAAATGCAAATAAAGAAGGATCACAAAGTAAACCGGAGATGTCATGTGGGTGTCTGAACGTTGTTCTGAAGCTCACACGCTCGCTCTTGGAAATCATCAGTTTTGATCTTTTTATTTACCCAACCCCAGAATGGCACAGATAGCAGCCTTGACTAAGGTAGTTCAGAGGTCCCCATTATACATTTCAACCCCTTTACAGCATCAACCCCAAATCCTCACCCTGTTCTCAATAATAAAAACACACCAAGAGTGGAGTTCAATGGCCACAGCAATATTTTATTAACAAAACCAGTATAAATAACGTAATTATAAATAACAAAACAGTAACAAACAATGACCAGACCATACAAATTGACAGGTTTCAGGTTCTTGAAGGCAATATGAACCATAAATAAACTTTGCATCTGCAGCCACATTTTGTTCATGATGCCCCCAGCTGCAATACACTGCCTCGGGGACAATATTTATTGACCGTAGACCCACACTGGTCCCTACTATCCAGTCACAACCGGTGGGCTTCACCACATGGAGGACACCCACACCAAAGATGGGTTCTCCATTAATGTATCAATAAACTCCAGCAGACAATAAATGCCTTCAAGGATCCAAACCACTAACCAACTGCCATGACCTGCTACAAGCCAATCTAACATGAACGATCTCAGGGACGGGGGGGAGGGAAGATCACCCCTGGTCTGCCAATCTCCAACTGGACCTGTGTGACTCCTCGCGGACCACCCTCCAAATCCCCTCCTGGCTGACCTTTATCGCCCAATCCGGTAAGTGCCCTCCCCTTTAACCTTTCTTTAACAATTCCTAGCCTGGTTCCCCTTCGCACCCTTGCCATGTAGGTATTCCACTCATTCTTTTCTTTTTTACCTGGCTCCAGGTAAAGACCATATGAAAAGGCAGCAGACATTGACAGCATATCAAAAATGCCAGCAGACAGGTAAATGCGAGCTACAGCTCGCGGTATACTGAGCCTAGGGTGACGGGAGGACGCTAGTTTGTGTCCTCCCGCTACCCTAAGAAGAACTATGGGGAAAAGCCATAACCCCATAGTTCTCCTTTAAGGTCCATTCACACTATATGAGTTTACCAGCATTTTTCCCCGCACTGGATGAACGTTGGTAAATGCAATGACACATAGAAAACATTAGTGTCATGTCCACACTACAATGCTGTCATGTTTACACTACAATGTTTTGATATGCATTGCGTTTATGTGCGTTAAAATGCAATGTATAAAACAAGTCTAAATGTATCTTATTATTATTATATCATTATACAGGATTTATATAGTTTGCACAGCACGTTACAATATAAGGAAGGCATTACAGTTTAAATATAAAATAAGATAAGATGGTAAAAGGGCCCTGCCTGTGAGAGCTTACAATCAAAAATTGAATATACATGCAATGCAAACAAAAATAATTTTTTTTAAACTTATAACAGGAATATATTCAGAGGAAATACACCTGTAAAATGTTTATACAAAAAACACAGCTAAACATGTATAAAATGTGTGTCAGAGCATATGAATGCATATAAACGCAAGTCAACATAGATGTTGTCACCATTTTGTGTGAATGGGCCCTTAGTATATTACAGCAAGCAAACATACAGTACATGCTCTGTTTGCAGGCCCCCAGTCTTCCAACGAGCTTCAGGCAGCCTGCCTAGGTCTCCGTGTGGGTGATCCAGCGCTGCTCCTTCCTGCCTTCATGTAAGGCCACCTAAGTACCTCATAGATTCTGATGAGTCTGGGCTTGGTTTTTTTTCCCAGTTCGCAACCCCCTCCTCCCAGCCCAATCAGTTGCAGATAAGTTTTCTTCACCCTACAGCTTTATGCCACAAAGGAGTGGTAAATGCCCTGCCGCAACTTCTGCCACTGATTGGGCCAGTTCGCACCAAGCCTAGGCTCATCTCTACTCTTAGCTTTTAGCTTGCATATGGCGACATAGTATAAAGACAAGCTGCTGATCATTTTCCATCATGTACATAAACTAGATGGATTGAAAATTATGATCTTGCGTGGATTTTTTTCTTTTTTTTTAAACATTGCATAGTTAGTGGATGGGTTAGAACCTCTTTCAGATTTTTATTGTTGTCTCTATTTGGAAGGGTTGACCTCACTTGCTGTCCCGGAGACCATTGTACTGGAACATAAAAGTGAGAGGAAATCTTTTAATCTCTATATTTTTTTTTGTGTGTCCTTCTATATTTATATAAGGCTGCATTCACATATAGCGTTTGTGGTTCCCGCACAGTTTTCCACGCGGAAGACTTTGTTGGGCAAAAATGCTAAAATGTTTTAATCCTGACGCTAAAAGCTATTAAATACCCGCGAACGTGTGTAATCCGCCGGGTTACCGCGATTAGACTATTTCAGGGGCCGCACGGTTTCGTACCGCGCGGTCCCAACAATAGTCTAAACAATGCACATTGAAGTGCATTGTATTCTCTGTTTAGAGCAGCTCAGCGCGTATCCATACAGCCGAAGCCGCTCAGGTGTGAATGGAGCCTAAAACTTGGTGCTGCTGAAGTTCTGACAAGTGTACAACAAAGAAAGAAACTGTTTAATTGACTCAACAAACATTTGATACTCTAACCACTTCTGTGTTCCGTGCAGAGCAATTTCTTGCACACACATGAATAAATCAGAATTTATGGCTAAACAGCTTTAAACCTCCGAACAGTTATATAATTTCTGAAAGCAGAGGCCCTGTAGAATAAATAAATGCTTTTTTTAAATGTCATACGATATTTGCACAAATGTTTATCAAACCAAGGGGTCTATTCACGAAGCTGCCGAGGGCTCGGCTCAGCCAAGCCAATGCATATGCGTTCGGCTCGGCTGAGCCGCTTGGCCATGATCGGGAGCTGTACGGGCTATTGTGAATAGCCCGTACAGCACCCCTTCGGTTCTACTGAACCGAAGGGGTCCTTTGGCCGAAGCTAGCCGAAGCTACGGCCAGATCCTTCGGCAGCTTCCTGAATAGACCCCCAATATTTTTCGGATAAAGTACGCTCAAAGGAATTTTAGCAAACACAAACAGGATATAATACCCATTTATTTGTAAGTATAAAAGATAGGGTTATGTCGGGTAAATAGATACCAAACATGTCAAGCCTTAAAATTGCTTGCGCCCATGCAATGGCAAAAACGAAAGTATCAATGGCTGTAAAATACTGCACCAGCCATGATCTTATTATAACCAGGGCAGAGCTGTTAATATATGTACGGTGGTCCTCAAGCAGTTAAACCATATGAAAGAATAGGTATACCCACCACATGTAATATCAATACAAATAGTTATTTATTACATATTGAAGAGGGACACATCATCAAAAGCCTTGATTAGTTCAATAAAATACTCCTTTCACTGACCCCTATTCCACAGAGACAAAATATTTCTTTCTGATATATCATCTCATGTATCCCTTTAATTAATGCTCATATCCTATTGAATACACATCAGTAAATTCTCCTTTATATGTGAGGATCAAAGTGTTCATCAAGTCTAATCCACAAAAGGCTAAAGTTCAGCATATATGATGGAATTATTCCACAGAATAGCAAAGACATCCACTGTTCCAACTGTGCTGTAGTTAGAAAAAAATTCAAATTTCCAAGTGCAAATGGGAAAAATGATTGATGGTCACAACCACGGGAAGTTAAGCTAATTTCTGACCACAGACACGCAAAGCATATGCGGGCACTGCAGTCATACTGGGGTATCTGCCTACATGTGTCCTGTTTCCGTATATGTGATGTATAGTTCAATCATATCTTAGGACACGGCAGTCATACTTTGATGCCTCTGCCCAAGTGCTAGTAATGTATTGCAGTTTCTTCTCATATTTATGCCAAATCTGCAGGTAAAATGGTTAGCATTCCTAATGTGCATGTAAATTTTACGTTCTCATCATGTTAACAAGGTTATCCTGCTTGGTACATATCATGGACCAATAAATTGCTACACGGTTAATTGGTTAGTGACTAAATTATCTTTATGTGGCTTTGTGCTTGTTGTAGGGATAATTACACTGTAAATTCCGTTGGGACAGGGATTGTTACACATGAATAATACTAGACTGTATGGTGATGCTATATGCTGGTGTTAGAGAAATAAAAGGTGGTAATACCGACAAGCAGGGATCTTACTAGTATACTGAAACACCCAGGGTACCCTGGGCATGCCAATAGGGTAAGTGGGGTTGTACTTTGCTTGCTACAGGAAATGGTAGGTGTAACTGAAGAATTGTTTTAGGTTGCATTGTCACATTGTGACCAATCATCTTAAAGGGGATCTTGGGGTAGAAAGTAAGGTTAGCTAATTAGATCCAGGTCTCCTCCCTATGTAAAAATCGCTGTATAGTAATATAGAAATAATGTATGTGTACGGAAAAAGGTAGATTATATACTTAACTTAATGAGTTCTTCTTCTGCCATGCTCCTTTCAGTGAGATCCTATCAATGATGAGGATCCCAAATCTCATGAGAAGATGCTCTTGCACTGGGCTGGAGTGTCTT